ACCCTCCATATATAATGAATGAATAACAAAATAAATGAAGTTTTAAAGCACTAAATGAAGGGGCAACTATATGTTTTCATAACTCTACAGGAAGGGATAGCGGCCTGACTTCTTATTTCATGAAATGTCAATATTCAGGAAATAACTCTAGAGGACAAAACGGGAGACTCAATCATTCAAGTTCAATCATCCAAGCATGTTCCATACCTAGATAAAATGTTGACTGAGGGAATGGAGAGAGCAATGGGTGCTCATAGTAATGAAGATTTGACTGCTTACAGGACATATGTGGGTTATGAACCCCAAGATAGGGAGAGCCCTTCCCGCTTTAATAGAGCCTGACCTCATATGACTTTCATGTACATAGGCTATATTTGCACTGCAGAGGAGCACTTGTATAGAGGAGCAAACAAAATGTGTGCAATCCCAATTTCTTTCCTCATCCCATCTACACATTCATTCTCCCTCTAGGGAGGTGTTCGAAATTCATTCCATTATGCTTATTTTATGGGCTTAACCAGTTCTACACCCATCAGACTGAATACTGAACCAAATACAGTTTATGTCAAAGATTCATACACTGGGGGGGCTTATGCTGCATTCTGTGATAAATTAGAAATACATGCATTTTCCCATATGTGCACCTTTGATGTATGTATCAGAAGGCATGAAGTTCTAAAATATGCACCAATATACTTTTGTCAAGGAGAGTTTATTTCCATTAATGCATCCATTTGAAAAATGTACAAAACAAATATTTAGAATTTTTTGGTCCCCCAAAAGCCAAGTTCACATAGAAGTGGCATGGAACAGGCATGAGGACACAAAGGAGGATATCCACAAAAATGGATTTGGCAGATCTTCCTGTCCTTAAGCTCTCCAGATGTTACAATTGTTAGATAAGAACGAATGGTTGGATATAATCAGGGCTTACAGAGAAGTGCATACAATTAAAGGTAGTACAGGCTTCCCACAGTATGCGATGGCCCTCCATCTCCTCATTCACTGTCAAATCTTTCCCATGAGTTTTTTCTCGTGTCTCCTCTACCTTCTTTAAAGCAGTCTACCCTCAGCATTGTTGGATGGGGCACGGGAACTTTTAAACAGGCAATTAAAAGTGTAATTAAATTAAAATTTTAAATTCTGTCAATTAAAGGAGCCAGGACTGAGATGCAAAGATGGTTCCCATCCTTTGAGGGCAAGCTTTATTTGTGGATTATATTAAACCACAGCGCCATGCCTCATAAATGCAGATCTGGGGAAGTAGCCAGGTTTCAAAGCATCATAGAAAAGCCTGAACAACAAGACTATAGCAGAGCCTTTCCCTAATCATCATTTGTGAATTGCAGAGGCAGCTCACTGGGTTCTCCTTGAGTTATCTCTCATTGATTTACCTGTTCGCTTTATCCCAAGAGACAGCCACTTGATTTGATCATTTCAGTGGTGCTACTTCAGCTCATCTGCTATTGCTGCACAACAATGCAATGGTTTACTTCATAGAGACAGCTTTGGGGATTTTTGCCCCCAGTGTCCAAGATGGTCCTCATCTCTAATACATTAAGAATCTTTCCTCCACTGTTTTCTTCTCCTCCTGAGATCTTGCCCCATTCATTTACTATAAGAGATGGGTGAAAAGAATCTATCAAAATTGCTGAATGGGGTAAGCTATTGTGCGGCTAGAGAGGAGAGGGATGTTTTGCAAGTGAAAGGCAGCTCCTTGAGCCAACAAGATAAATTCACTTGATATACACTTAAATGGATAGGGTAGTTATCAATTAAACTGGTAAACCTATTAAGTTTAGTGCCATGTAACCAGGGGCACTACACATTTGATTCTAAAATGAATGTTAAACTGTAGAATTACCCCTTAGTATCATGGTTTTGTTAACATTATAGCTTGTGGCAACATAAAATTCCTGTTCTCAAGCCAAGAAAGTATAGACCACCTTTCCCCAATCTTTTTACCTTGGAAGAGCCCTTGAAATAATGTTCAGGTCTCACAGAATCCTTGCATAAAAATGATTATATCTACAGATTTTTTAAAAATAAATAAATGACCTGGTTTGTTTGTTTCGGCTTTGGTTTCTTTCTTTCTTTCTTTCTTTCTTTCTTTTGTAGTCATGATCTTTCATGGAACCTCTAGGAACCTCTCATGGAATCCCTAGGATAACAAGGAACCCTGGTTGAGAAAATCTGGTATAGATCAATAGGCAATCCATAGAGTTGGGAGCAGGAGGTCAGTCAGAAAGATAAAAATGATGATGTTTGGCATTCTTGTGCACCGCCACCATTTTTTTACCATGATGTGTCTCAAATATTTATTGCTATACTTCTCTTCCAATTCATTTTATAGTATTTTAGCAAATAACCATCCTATAGGTAAAGGAGCATAATTACGATACCTGAATATTATTATATATTTATTAGTACACTAATACACTGCTCCACCTTACACTTGCAGTTGTGTTGTTGGTTTGGAGGTTGGCATTCTCTTCCACCCTCTTAAATGTCAAAAGTCCCCCACCTCCACATTCATGATTTAGCTCCCAGAAGACTCCCCTCCATGGCCATTTCATTGGAAGAATGTCCAACTATGGGAAAATATGTTCCCATAGCAAAGATGTTAGCTGGTTTATCATCTTCCAATCTTGGCTAAGTGAGATTGAGGGACTGTTCCAGGAAGACCAATGGTGAACTTAAGAAGCTAGTCATTTGATCACTCCTTGGACTAGAGATCATTGCAGAACAGGATATATGAGTATATAAGAGATGAAGTGGTGACATCTTTGTCTGTGTTCAGATGTTTGTTGATAACACCTGTTACAATGCCCCCCCCATTCATATTGCATATCAAGGGCAGTTAGGAACACTGAGTAGTGGTTTCATTCCATCACATCACAACAAAGCTTTGTCAACTACTGTACATCAATGTGCAGTGACTGTGCTCCATCTACTCTGACAAAATGCTACCTCAGCAAGCTGTCACTTCGATGCTTTATACATGTTCTCGTTCTTTTTCTCTCTCCCCCCCCCACTTTTTTTTGGGGGGGGTATGTTTGCTCTAAATTTCATCTCCAGTGTCTCATGCCATAGGCTACAAGTCTGTTACAAAACTCAGGCTCCAACATGTCAAATATAATGAAAAAGGGTTAGTGCAGGAAGTCTTGCTTAAAACTTAAACCAATTGCCATTTTATTTCTGGAGAAATGGAAACAGGCATTCTTGACAGTTGAAGAGAGCTGGGTACTTGCCCTGCCTGGAGCCAAGGAGTTGTTTTTTGTACATAGAACCAGAAGTACGGTATGTGAGAACCTGAAAGGGGATGAGTAAGGGGAACACATCTTTATGGTTTCTTGGGGTCATTCCATGCACTTTCCATGATGTTTCATCTGTCTTTTAAGTATCCAGCCATTTCTCTCCAGAAATATAAGAGAGAAAATGAGCAATGTGTATACCATCCAACTGAACATTAAGGTTCAAATTAAGCCCTATGGAGGGACCATGCTGCACTTGTTCCTCTGCCCAAGTTTATAGAATCCTAGAGTTGGATAAGACCCCAAAGGCTATTGAGTCCACCCTTCAAGAAATGGTCATTTAGACTCTGATCAAAAATACCCAATGAAGAAAAGCCCACAACCTTCCAAGGTAGCATACTGTACTTAGCTGTTGAACAGTGTCAATTTTTCCCTCACACAGGGTGCAACTACACTGTAGAATTAATGCAGTTTGACACCACTTCAATTGCCATGGCTCCATCCTACATAATCCTGGGATTTGTAGTTTTGTGAGGCACCAGCAGTCTTTGGCAAGGAAGGCTAAAGACCTTGTAAAATAACAAATCCCAGGATTCCATAGGATGGAGTTAAAATACTTAAAAGTGGTGTCAAAGTGCATTATTTCTACAGTGTAGTTGCACCCAAAAGTACAGGATACCAGAGAAGGACAGAAAAAAGGAGACACACAGACAAGAATCAGTGGAACGGAAGAAGAATTTGAAAAGGAATCTAATGATTGATCTGTTTCTTTTTTAAAAAAAAACTGAGACGTGTCATATTTTATTTATTTAATTTGTTACAAAGTATTATTATGGTGCTTGGTTGATTGGGGGGTGTTTTGGGGGGAAGAATAGGGTGGGGTGGGTCAGGCTTGTAGTATGTAAAAGAGTTTGTTTGTTTGTTTGTTTGTTTGCTTGCTTGCTTGTTGCATCCTTCCTGTACATGTCCATTTCTTTTTAACTTCATTCCTTCCATTTCGGTGCAGGGGTGTTTGCCTGGGAAATTGGTTTTTTCCAAAATTCACGGAGGTCTCTCCTCTGTCAAGCTCCAAACTAGGGTGGTGATGAAAAAATTTTCACTTAAATTCTTGTAAAGATTTCTGTGCAGCAGTGCACTGTTTTTTGTAGGTTTAAACACTAATTTAAAATCAATTTAATGAAAGTCACATCCTCTTTTCACTATGAATGCCAACTTTGTATTTTTTTTTCTTTTTAGTGTAAACATAATTGCCATTTCTTCACTAACCTTCCTATCTCCAAACTTGATGGGAGTATGAATCATCCTACTTAGTCAAAACATCTGGAAGAATCTGGAGACAACTTAAAAGAATTTGAGAAAGATTCCTGGGGGTACGATTGCTGCACATTCATGCACATACTATTTCTAAAGGACAAGCCTAGTTTTCTCACAGCTGCTCCTGATGTAAAACAATGCTTCAACTTTACCTTTTGCAATGATATTGGTGAGTCTTTTTTTAGAAAAGTAGGTATATACACACAACATGCCTTTTTTTTGGGGGGGGGGATGAAATCTCAAACTGCAATCTCAAACTGTGAGAAAACTATATTACAATACTCTACGTTGTTGTTGTGTGCCTTCAAGTTGTTCCCAACTTATGGCAACCCTAAAGCCAATCTATCATGGGGTTTTTTAACAAGATTTGTTCATAGGAGGTTCCCCTAAGACTAAGAGTGTGACTGGCCCAAGGTCACCAAGTGGGTTTTATGGCCGAACAGGGAATCGAACCTTGGTCTCCAGAGTCATAGTCCAACGCTCAAACCACTAAGGCATATTGAAATAAGCCTCACTGAGTGAAGTGGGGTTTACTCTGAGCTAGGTGTATAAAAGATGGGGAATTAGGTCAAGATCCCATAAGAGTACTGGTGAAGTATGAATCTCCACCAATATAGCTATATGGCAGGATGAGGGAGAAGAAAAGGATGATGTCTGCCTCTTCTTTCTCAGGTTGTACAAGGTCAGTTAGACACCCCTTGGACCCAAGCAGCTCCATCCCTTTGGTCAGCAATTGCCCATTCGAGGGTACTCAGATATTAGGATTTTTAGCCGTAGATTTTTGTGCTGGTAAGGGTTTGGAGTAGATAGTTCTTGGGATCTTTTAAACCTCTATGACTCTGTGTCCTGACGTTTATTGGTTATTCCCAACTAGAGAAGATTAGAAATGGAAAGAATATGCAGAAATATTTAGAAAATGATTAAAAACATGTTTCTTGAGCATTGGAAAACCCTGAAAAAGAGAATCCGATAGATTGAGACTTATTTTGCACAAAGTTCACACATTTTTTTAAATGTAGAAAACAGCATTGTCTGTGCAGGAAACATCATTTTCTGCACAGAAAATAACCTTTCTGTGCAGCAATATTATTTTCTGTATAGAAAAAGTTGTATTCATATGCAGAAAAGGCAAAAAGAATGTGCTGATTTTGTGCCAGCTAAGTGCTGAATTCTGAGTGGTCTTTGAAAACTTACAGTGTTTTAAGACTTTCTCATAGTAAGAAGAAAACTGCAAATTTACTCACTGCTTCCTTTAAAAATGAGATTACCAAAGAATTACTTCCTTAAGGTAGGCCCACTGAATGAATTGCTGGATGGTGAGTCAGTATGGAAGTTGGGTCTGCTTTAGCAGAGAAATGATAGTTAAATGAACCTTTTAACAATGAATTAATGGGTGTATTTTAATGAATATAAAAGCCTTGAATCTCATTTTGGGAGAAAGGTGAGATACAATCCCAATAAATAAATAAATAAATAAATAAAAACTAAATTCAGGCCTATGAGTCTCTGAATCAGATCATCAGCTTGTCTAGTAAGGATGGAAAGAATATTCAAAAGTGTTTGAAAAGTTGTTGAGTGTTAAGGAGCTATGATGAGAAGAATCCTGAACAGATACGAAGCTTTCTTCTTTGGAACTTACTCTGTGCAAAATCCACACATGGAGGTTTTTACACAGAGAAAACAGCATTCTTCTGCATAGGAAACAGCATCCTTCTCTCCGCCACTCCAGAAAATAATATTTCTGTAGCTCCTTCCTACACAGAAAATGCTGTGCATGCATGAATTTTGCACAAATGAAATCTCAAACTGCAAATAGTCTTCAAAATCTGCACTGTTTTCAAAGGCTTTTTTGTAGCAGGAAGAAAATGGCTAAAATGATTTGTTTCTTCTTTTGAGAAGAAAATTAGCAAAGAATGATATGATCCAGCTCAGTATTGTATGGGATCTTTGGGAGATTTTTGTCCCAACCCCAGTTGGAGATACCCAGGGCTGAAACGAGGACTTCTTACCTGCAATGCAATGCAATGCAAGGCAATGCAATGTTGTTTATTGCTGTCGCAGACCAAGAAAGCAAAGCAGACACTCTATATCACTGAGCCAAAGATGTTTCCTTCTATGCAGCATCAAGCTATCATTAGACCCCAGTGATTCCCCCCAGGATTTTTCCACCACTTGGGTGTTTTCAACTGCCTGTGAGAAAGAGGCTGGTATTTATATTGTGAGTAATAGCTCACAGAGCTCAAGCCCGTGGCTATGGGAGTGAATGATTTAGGTTATAATTAATCACTAAACACAGTAAATTCACCCGATGGAACACCTCTTGAGCTATCGCTCTTCTTTCCATCTCCAGCCAAGTGGCTGCCAAAATGAAGGCTGTAGCCATTTCATACTTTTGCAAGGTGTATACACCAAGTGAAAGAGGTACACAGAATAAATTGTATTTATATAACATCATTCCAAATTACCCACAAGCTTCAATTCCCAAGGCCTGCCATACCTCTAGTACTGTGGGAACCAAAGCCTATACTTTCTCTTGGGGTTGCCTCTCTTTCCTAGGATGTGATTCAAGTTCCCACAATATTCTTACTGAACTTCATTAGGTAATTTAACACATAGCAAGCCCCTAAGTTTCTTTGTGGAGTGGAGATTCCTTCAAGTCACCTGTTAACTTATGACAGCCCCATGGATTTCATAGGGTTTTCTTAGGCAAAAAATACTCGGAGGTGGTTATGAAAAATAAATGTGGAAACCTGATCCAATGTATTGTGGAAGGAGGTTGCTCTTTTAACCAATCTTCTCCCTTTTTTTTTAACTGAAGGCTTGTTAAGATTCATGGCCATCAGTTTTCTGTCAGTTATAGGTTCATGCTCAATGGAACTTCACACCTATTATTACTAAGCTGTTTGGTCTATGTAGTTTATAAATATACGGTTTGGTAGATTTATTACAACTTTCTAAGAGTAGTTTATTACATTAGATTTATTTCCTGATTGTTTGTTTTTGCTTAGCTTAATGATTCAGTTCCTATATCTTTCTTTTGTTAATAATTAAATAAAGCCAACCTTGGTAATATTCCTTAGAAATTTCCTCTACTTAGAAACAGTCAAAATTTTCTTCTGTTTTTAATGGTAATTGTGGAATGGGAGTTAAAAACAGAGGAGAAAATAGTTCACCATTATTTTAGAGCAGCTTAAAGGGAACTGGAGACAGATGGGAACAGGGAATGTTTTTAACTTGTTATGTTTTTTTTTTAACTTGTACCCCGCCCCGATTGCCACGCAGAGGGGCGGGCTATAAATAAAAATTTATTATTATTATTATTATTATAGATACAGGGGACATCCAGATCTCCATGGTGATGCAATATAGGATTGATGTTCCCACTATGTTTAATGTGTTTAAATCCTCTTCAGCATTCATACATGCACCACTTCGCTTAAACATAGAGGCTCCTCCATATCCAGGAATGATCCGCATGATCCAGATCAATTTAGTAGCTTAGGGGCTATGCAGATGGATGGCTCTGGGCCACCCCTGCTAGTAGTGGATTGGGACCATGGCAACCGCATGCTGCAGCCCCAATTCTCCCTTTTGCCACCCCTAGAAGAGCGGCAAAATGATGCTTCTTTTAGGGGTGGCAAAAGGCTGCCCTAAGAGCCAGTGCCGCAGCTCTTCCATGCACTATCGGCACACTGTGCTGGGAGAGAGTCATGACACCACACGGCATGCGTACGAGTGCGCAGCATATGAACGGCGTCGGGCTGAGGTTGGGGCATCTGGTATGTGGCTGCCCTGCCCCAACTCCACCCCCAGGGCAGCCCTTTAGGCTGGTCTGCAATGCTTCTAATTCACACTACCAAAGATCTGGATCACTCCAGAACTTTAAAAAAGAAGTGCATAAGGACACAGTCTTGAATACACTGGGTTAAGTGGGTTTTTCCATGCCTCCCCGCCCCCCAGCAGGTTTCCATGGCTGAGGATTCAAGCTCTGACATCCTGCAACCCCAGGACTAATTTTCACCACTTCCACCTGGCTTGTTGGGATACTTCTTGTGAAACCATTGAGTTAATTCAGGTATATCCACATGATGGATGTACACCCATTCATTTTCAGACTCAGGAAAGTGTTTCCAGTGGACAGCTTGCCCCTGTGGATTCTCAAGTCCAAGAGCAGACATTCTTGCTGATGTCTCATTACACATCTTCATAATTCAGTAAGGAGGTTTCTTAATGCCTCTGCTATGTAGCTGGGAATACCAAAAGTTACATAATGTAACAGGTCATATAGGATTCCAATGATCATTGCCATTTCTCCCTACACTGGTGATGATTTTCTAACCTTTTGCTGGTTTAAACAGTGTATGCAAATTCTGGGAGCTTTATTCATTTGTATGCATGAAACAAACCAGTTCTCACACCACCCAACAGTGGACCATGTTTCTCACATAAGTCAGAGATGAAGGCAGTTTTAAAAATAAACTTCAGAATGGCTAAAGTAGCAAATTTTGTCCTCAGGTTTTTTTTTTTAGATTGCTAAGTTATGAGTTAGCTCTTTGAGTAGATTTTGGCATGGCATGGCATGGCATGGCATGGCATGGCATGGCATGGCATGAGAGCCAGAGTGGTATAGTGGTTTGAGCAATTGCCTACAACTCTGGAGGACAGAGTCTGAATCCTCAGCCATGGAAATTCACTGGGCAAGCAAGGGGCTATGCAGATGGGCAGCTCTGGGCTGCCCCTGCTAACTGCAGATTGTTGTCTTTTCCAATGAGTCCTCCCTCCTCATGATATGTCCAAAGTACGACAGTCCCAGTTTGGTCATCTTGGCTTCCAGGGAGGTTTCCAGCTTGATCTGCTCTAGGAACTATTTGTTTGTCCTTTTGGCTGTCCATGGGATCCTCAGCACTCCTCTCCAGCCCCACATTCTCTCAAATGAATTGATTTTCTACCTATCATCTTTCTTAACTGTTCAGCTCTCGCATCAACACATGGTAATAGGGAATATGATGGCTTATATGATTCTAAGTTTTGTGTTGAGTTGTATATCTTTGCATTTTAGAATCTTGCTTCTAGTTCTTTCATAGCCACCCTCCCCATTCTTAATCTTGTGATTTC